ATTGATAAAAAAAAAAAAATTTTTTTTTATATTTTTGGCAACTGTAAAGGCCCTTTCACACCAAAAGTGAAATTAATAAAACTCACCCTGAAGGAAGTTCCTATGCACTGAACACAGGGACAGGAGAGCTGTCAGTGAATAAATGGGAAAACAAGGTAACTTTCTTTACTTATTTGAAAAAGTATCTTAGATTTTTTTTTTTGTAAATTTAAAAGAAATGCTTTACTTCACTACTTGAAAAAAAGTAATCTGATTACGTAACTTACGTTACTTGTAATGCGTTATCTCCAATACTGTTTTTTTGAAGGCGTATTATATAAATTAACAATCATTCTTCTTTTGTTAGCTTAGCAACATGCTAAAGTTTAGATAAAGATGACTTAACATGATATAAATTAACAAAAAAATTTGTCATTACAAACTTCACAACAGTCTTTTATCACTAAATTGAGTACCATTTTACTTGTGCATGCTGTGTATTTTCATGCTTGTTAGAGTACTGCATTGTTAGCTTAGCAACATGTTAAAGTTTGGCTAAAATAACTCCAGTGAAAAAGAATTGTGCTTAATTCATTTCAAATATGTTTTCTATAGTTTTTCACAAGTATAAAGTTTATGACAGCTACAGTTTTATTGACCTTCTTTACTAAATGTAGGACAATTTTCTTCTGTCTCTGTATTTTTATGTTTGGTACAGTTCTGCATTGTTAGCTTAGCAACATGCTAAAATTTGGCCAAAATAACTGCAGTGAAATCAAGCTGACATAATTCATCTGACGTTTGTTTGTTTTTTCGCGGTTGTTTGCAAGTATGAAACATACAACACTAGCTGATATAAATTAACCAAATCATTTATGTTCAAATTCAGTCATTTATCGCAAAATTTAGGACCATTTTACGCTTTGGCAACTGTAAAGGCCCTTTCACACCAAAAGTGAAATGAATAAAACTCACCCTGAAGGAAGTTCCTATGCACTGAACACAGGGACAGGAGAGCTGTCAGTGAATAAATGGGAAAACAAGGTAACTTTCGTTACTTATTTGAAAAAGTATCTTAGATATTTTTTTTTGTAAATTTAAAAGAAATGCTTTACTTCACTACTTGAAAAAAGTAATCTGATTACGTAACTTACGTTACTTGTAATGCGTTATCTCCAATACTGTTTTTTTGAAGGCGTATTATATAAATTAACAATCATTCTTCTTTTGTTAGCTTAGCAACATGCTAAAGTTTAGATAAAGATGACTTAACATGATATAAATTAACAAAAAAATTTGTCATTACAAACTTCACAACAGTCTTTTATCACTAAATTGAGTACCATTTTACTTGTGCATGCTGTGTATTTTCATGCTTGTTAGAGTACTGCATTGTTAGCTTAGCAACATGTTAAAGTTTGGCTAAAATAACTCCAGTGAAAAAGAATTGTGCTTAATTCATTTCAAATATGTTTTCTATAGTTTAGCTACAACAGTGACAGCTACAATTTTATTGACCTTTTTTACTAAATGTAGGACAATTTTCTTCTGTCTCTGTATTTTTATGTTTGGTACAGTTCTGCATTGTTAGCTTAGCAACATGCTAAAATTTGGCCAAAATAACTGCAGTGAAATCAAGCTGACATAATTCATCTGACGTTTGTTTGTTTTTTCGCGGTTGTTTGCAAGTATGAAACATACAACGCTAGCTGATATAAATTAACCAAATCATTTATGTTCAAATTCAGTCATTTATCGCAAAATTTAGGACCATTTTACGCAGAATTTAGGCTTGTTAAAGTATCACATTTTTAGCTTAGCATCATGCTAACATCACACTTGCACTTTTGAATACCCATGAACTTTTCAAATCGGCCACTTAGTGTACAGGGTTACATTTCAGTTAGGATTTTGCATATGTAGACAGAAAGAACCGTGCTGTTGACTATTCTGTGTTAGCTTTTCTTTACTCAAGGGTTAGTTCACCCAAAAATGAAATTATGTAATTAATTACTCTCCCTCATGTCGTTTCAAACCAGTAAGACCTTCGTTCATCTTCCGAACACAAATTAAGATATTTTTGATGGAATCTGAGAGCTGTCTGACCCTGCATAGACAGCAACGCAACTGAAATGTTCCCAAGTCCAGAAACGTAGCAAGGAGATCGGTAAAATAATCCATGTGACATCAGTGGTTCATCCGCAATTATACGAACTACGAGAATACTTTTTGTGTACAAAAGAAAAAAAATAACAACTTTATTCAACAATTCGTATCCTCCGCATCACCCTGGTGCCATTTTGGAGAATATCTTCTGGACGTAAACAGCGTATGCTGTTCTGTGTCAGCTGCGTCACATGTATACGCTGTTTCCGTTCAGATCAAATCACAACAAAGTATAAACAGATTTGGTGTGATGTTTTGGGTGAACTAACCCTTTAAAGAATCCAGAAAGAAAGGTATCATAGATTCCACAAATATATGAAGCAGCACAACTATTTTCAACATTTATAAGAAATGTAAGAAATGTTTCTTAAGCAGCAAATCACATTTTAAAATGATTTCTGAAGGATCATGTGACACTGAAGACTGAAGTAATGATGCTGAAAATTCAGCTTTGCTGTCATAGGAGTAAATCACATTTTAAAATATATTCAAATAGAAAACAGTTATTTTAAATTGTAATAAAGTTTAACAATGTTACTGTTTTTACTGTATTTTTGTAAAATAAATGCAGTCTTTTGGCACAATTTTTTTATATTTTCCTTTTATTTTAGTCCACTGTGCTTTAAATGGCTTTCTAATTCAAGTGAAACTGTAAATAACATTTTAGTAGGCAAAAATTAACAAAATGAAAAAGTCAAGCATTTAAAAAAAATAAAATAAAAAATTGCGGCCCACTCTTCAGATTGCCTTTGTTTTAAACTGTTGATGCAGACGGTAATGCTGAGCTGAATGCAAACAAGGCCCTAAATTGTTTACTTTGTCTAGGAGCAGATGAAGGGACTGGCCAAACTTTATTTGTTTTTATTTATTTATTTTTTTGTGGTGGTGGGGGTCTGGGTTTAGCTTTTTTCTTCTTTTATCAAAAGTTGCTTTCTGCGATTTATCGTAAACTGAGATTTTAATAATTTTGTATGCTAATTATAGCACAGTTTAGCCTATTAGTTACATTTGTGTTCCAAAGTGTTGTTTTAACTAGAGATGCACCGGCCAATAATCGGTATCGGCTGATAAAAGCAATTCATTTCATTATCGGCCATCGGCGGATTGTTTAAAATCAGCCGTTGATCATGGCCGATTATATTCCATATAGTATTATATTCTATATTTTATTATATATCCGATCTATATTCTTCAAGCCAGGGTTGCCAGATCCGCAGTTTTTCTCTACACCAAACATTTGTAGCGCGCCTCCCATCCAATAATCGTAAAGAGCTTTGTGCTTTCTCACTTCTGAAAAGAAACAAAGTCTCAGCTTTCAAATCCTGTACATTCTATCACGAAATTCAAACAATGAATGCCATTTTGATGCTTTTAAATGTGACGTGACAGATCGCTGTAGCACCTCAGTTCAAGCAGCAGCGCGGAGTGCCAGTAATTGTTGCGCAGTTAAGCTTATTAGATACATTTGTCTTCCAAAATGATGTTTTAAAGTTTATTTTCCCAAAAACTAAAATGGAAAAAGTCAAAAAATATTTTTTTCTGTCATTTACTGTAAAATTAACTGAAATTTTGAGTATTTTTGTACACAAATTTTTCTGACATTTAGCCTCTTAGTTACAGTTGTGTTCCAAAGTGATGTTTTAGCATATATATTGACCAAAAAAATTAAGTGGAAAAAGTCATTAATCCTTTTACTTCTTTTATCAAAAATTACTTTTCTGTGAATTATCTTTAACCGAAATTTGAAGCATTTTGTAAACAAATTTTTTGCACAGTTTAGACTGTGTTCCAATGTGATATTTTTAACGTGTATTCTGCCATCAAATGAATGTGTAAAAAGTCATGAATCAGATTCCGATCCCAAATTCGCCAGCCATTTTTTTTTGTGCTTGCTAGCATGATATAGGTAATATTTCTCCCAGCACAACTATCAATACTCACCCCAACCCCTCAATCATCTTAAAGGGTGTTTCTATGCCATTTTTGGCTGTCATAGAAGAGTTAAAGGGACCCGGGTGAATCTTTGCGAAAGTTCCCTTAACGTCACGGCACGAATCATTGCTATCGCAGCTAATGGCACCGTTAAAGAGCACTTCTTGGGAGAAATCGGAGCCCATCAAATTTATAGGGCCTTTTTTATGCAGTACACCCAAATCTGAAGGCTTTCTCTCTCTCTAGACTTATTTCCATAAGTGCCTTGGCTGCAAATAGCACACTCAGTGTGAATTCACAGCCCAGACCCCACTGTTGGTCTGACCTACCAAGCCGCGTGCCAAAAGGACATTGGCTAGAGTACAGTCAGACCTTCTATTCCAATAACATCCCTTTGCATCTGAATGCTCTTACAGTTAGGTCTGTCAATTGATTTCACATAATTCACTTTTGTAAATTGTATTTATTTTATTGTAATTCTATATCTTAACATATATTATAAAATGTAATTTACAATGTTGTTCTTATATATATATATATTTAATAAACCACATTTATTAATGAGTTAACTTACATCTGCAGTCGTTTAAAACCTAGAAAGACAGTGAGTATTTTTACAACGCATGCAGTTGTCTGTCAGCCTATACTGTGGCAGCAGTCAGCTTTATTGAACCGGCAACACGGTGGCCTCCTGTGTACACACATCAGCGTAGGGTTTCACCTGCACGGCCAGTGTGCCGTTTGGCAGCCAGACTGCACGATCAGCATGGTGATTCCTTGGTACTCTGGACTAGATGTTTTCTATCCGAGTCTTTAGACTGCAGAAACAGTTTTCAAGAGGCTGTCAAGTGCATGATTTCAGTGTGGTCTTGAAACAAAATCTCACTTTCTGTGTCTCTCTTTCCTTGTGTGTCTCTCTACAGAAACAGGGCAGTCTGAAAGTCCGAACCAGCCCAGTGAAAGCGACATCAAGGACCAGCCAGAAAATGGTGAGTGTTTCTACTCACGTTTCCCAACATATCTAGAAATATGCATATACAAATCCCAAACATTATCCAGGTTTTTGGGGCCATGGCCTAATGTTAGCACATTTTCTTCAGAGGACCTTGGAGCTCATACATTCTTAAAAATAAAGAAAATAAATGGTAAAAAAAAATAATGGTTCCATGAAGAACCATTCACGTCTATGGAAGCTTTGCATTGTGCAAAAGGTTCTTTACTTGAGGTAAGGGATTAGATTATTCTTTAGATTTTTTAAATGTTCTTCACACTAAGAGGAAAAATGTTTCTTTCAAGAACTGTTCGCTGAAAAGTTCTTTGAGGAAGCCAAGATGGTTCTTCAATGGCATCACTGTAAAAACCCACTTAAAAAAAAAAAAAAGTGTTGAACATTTCCATGTGCACAAAATGTTCTAAATAGTGAAAAGATTATTAAAATATTCTTGAAACGAGGAGAAAAAAAAGAGATGTTCACAGAAATGTTCTTGGAGGAAGCACGAGTGATTCTTCCATTGCATTGGTACGTTCTTAAAAATATTTTATTGATGGTTCATTTGAGAAGTTTTACCATCCATTAACCCTTTCCATTGCACAAAAGGTTCTTTATAGGGGAAAACGGTTCTTTAATTCATTCAAATGTTCTTCACTCACATGTTCTTCATAGTGGTTTTAAGAAAGTTCGCTGAAAAGGTTCTTTGGGGAACCAAAAATGGTTCTACTATGGCATCACTGCAAAAAACCCCATTTGAAACCTTTATTTTTAAGAGTGTGTGGGAAATGCAGGTTTGAATCTGGCCTAGATTATTTTGTCCCCAAAGTATATCTAGTTGTTGTTAGCTAGTTCAGCTATAGTAAGAACAAGTTTGCGAATTTTTCACATCGTCGAAGCTCTAGAGCTTGCTCTCTCCTCTGAGAAGTTTAGTGTGTGTTAGTATAAGCCAGAGGTGGTTGATTACTCTTAAGAAGATTGCGTCTGCATAAACTTGTGCGAAAAGTGGCATCTTTCCATCGCAGACGGAGAATTTTTCTAAACGGGCTCTTTTAAAACAAACACAGAGCAGCAATTCCGCTGATTTTGTACGTGTTTACAAATTATTAGCGGACAATGAAACAGTCTGTGTCGACTGATTTACAGTTTGAGAAAACATAAACACAATGATTGAATGGCCTGTTTGCTTGAGTTTAAACAGAGAATGATGGCAAAAAGTCCCGCTTTATCCTCCCACAACCCCCCTGGAGCGCTGTTACGTACGCGTCCCTCAACACTGGATTATAAGGCATATTTTCCTTCTAACTTAAAGATTATTGCATATGTGTGCTGCAAAGCTTGAGCTATTATTTCCACGCCCTTGTGTGTGACAGCAGCATCGCCCTGTTTACTCAGATTAGAGGATACAGACAGATGAGCGTGTTCATCTCTCTCATCCTGCATGTAGCTGATATTATCTTTTCATCTCTCTCTCTCATGTTGAACTGAAGATCACCCCTGAGTTGCGCTGATATAGGCTGCACATAATCACTCCGCTAATGTCTTTTTTTTTCATATTTTCTCTCCCGTGCAAACCCGCTCCATCTGGTATCTGTATCTGTCATCCGTGATCTTCGGATTATTTCCGAATTATTATATTTGTTTTGATCTGAAGCAGTACAGGCCAGTCCCAATCCAGTCTGAGAATCCTGGCCTTGTTTCATCCTTTTTAATTCTCAAAACTGGTCTCAGATCAGCAGCTTTTGCCCTGCTGGATCTAAAAACAATGAAGACCTGAGACTTTATTTCACTGCCTCATAAAGGGATTTTTCAAAATTATAAAAGGAGAAATTACACAATATTTTCACTATGCTTTTCCATTTGATGAAATTAAATATATGATAACTGTTCTGTGTAATATCTTTGGTATATATATGTAAATATATCTATGTATATCTATCTATATAGATGGATGGATAGATGGATAGATAGATAGATATAGATATAGATGGATAAATATATACATGTTATATTTATGTGCATATGTTATCATATTTAAGCTCATATGTGTGTGTGTGTGTGTGTGTGTGTGTGTGTGTGTATTAGCACAAATATCATATAGCATATTATAGAACATTTATTTTAAATTATTTAAAAACTTATATATAAAACTTATAAATAATATGTATGAATTCATAAGTAACATATATTTACATATTTAATACATTTACAAAAACAATAATTAAATTTTTAATGTTTTATTAAATTATATAATAATAATTTAATTATTTACACACACACACACACACACACACACATATATATATATATATATACTTATATAATTATAATATTTTGTCTTCTGAAGCCAAAATGTATATTGTTCTTCAAGTGTAACTATCAAATCTAAGTATTTTGTGTAATGAAAATGCGTCATAAGAATAACATTTGAGAGCTACATAAGAATGGAAAAGAGCAGCCAGGAAAAATATCATATATTTGCTTGCATGGAAGAAAGACAGTCATATGGGTTTGAAATAACATGTGGGTGAGTAAATGGTGAGAGATTTTTTATTTAGAGTGAGCTATCCCTTCAAAGACCACTGACTCCTTTCACTGCCTGTTAAATACTGTCAGACATAGCTTGAGGCTATCACACACTTCCACCTTTTCCCTGCCACCACCTCTATTTCTCCCTTATTTCTGTCTCCCTCTCGTCCCCGATGCAGGAAAACATGATCAACTTTTATTTTTCCATGGTTTGTTTTTGCTGGTAAACCTTGACCTTTGTGCTCCATGCTACGTGCACTTTCACAGAGCAGGCTGCTGTCTTTCTGGGATGGGGCAGCCGTTGCACAATCCGCAGACTATTAGATAAGGCCAGAGGATATCCTCTTCTTTACAACCCCAGGAGAGAGAGAGGGGAGGTGGGAAATCCATAACAGAGAGCACGAGAAAATGGAAAAGAATGTGAGAGACATTTGTTAAGAAGCTAGTAAAAATGGTTAAACAGTTGTTTACTGCCTCTTGTGAGGCTTGTTTATGGGTGGCTGTCAAATGCCAAGCAGTGGATGCTTCATCTAAGACTATTTGAAAAGAAATTTTTCAGGTTATTATGCTTTATACACATTGTTGATGATAAAACGAATAACTGAGAGATATGAAAGTCGATAGAAAGACATATGAAAGACAATAAAAATCAAATTTGACTTTTTTTTCTCACTAGCTGTATTCTGGTATGTAACGCACACTTTTCACTATCCAATCATCAACTTGCTCAGCCACTTAAACAACTTCTAGTCTCTAATGATATCACCAAGGCCATGCTTTATATTAGATAATAAACACAAATAGCAATTCAGCCAATTTTAGCAAACTTTCATGTCTGGCTTCATTCTGATACGTAATGCACACTTTTCACTAATCGATTCTTGATAGATAAAATCAAGCACCGCCCTTTTTTTCTCATTGAATATCATGTTTTACTCATTCCTGATTTCTTAATACACATTCCTTATCAGTGCACGTGATTCTGGAAAAAAAACTTTTTTTTGTAAATTCGTTGTAATTCGCAATCAGAATTAAGTAACTTGATCCACCTCTTCAACAACTTTCCATCTCTGATGACATCAACAAGGCCAGTGGAAATTTGCACAAATGGCAATATAGCCATTGTTTTTGCTAACTCTCATTCACGTCGCATGGCTCCATTCTGGTCCGAAACACACTTTTCACAATCCAATCATATACGAATTGATTAAAAACAAGACCCGTCCCTTTTTTATCTTGTTGTATATAAATTTTTACTTATTTAAAGAAGCAAAAAGATCATTTGCGCCGCACTGCAAAGAGCCTCTGCCCCACAGTACTGCAGACACTCATGGGACCAAATCCAGATGTTCTCTACCCTCAGTGTCACTCTAAATACTCCCTATTCCCTTCCCCACTGGGACTGTGTGTGTGTGTGTGAGTGTGTTGTTGACATAAACGTTGTCTTTCCTCTGTATTTTGTCACGTTCATTGCGTTAACAGTTTTTCTTCTCTTTCTTTTTGTCTCCTAGGGCACCTTGGCTTCCAGGACAGTTTCATCACATCAGGTGTCTTCACCGTCTCTGAGCTCGTGCGAGTCTCACAGAGTAAGAACTCTACAACTCTACAACATTGCATGATATATTAAGACTTGTTTTCATACAATGTGTCTTTAATATAAGTGTAGTTTTAAAAATCTGGGTCAATGACATGACATTAATTTTTTTTAGTTATTAAAAAGAATCACACGAATACTTGTTTCATTATGAACATATTTTTAAATTATGAATAATATATTTTTTAAAACATCATGCAGTGCACCCTCCCCCCCAAAAAAACATTTATAAAGTAATAATATTTAATTATTTTATAATATTTATCATTAAAATAAACATTTTACTTTGCACTTTTAAAAGACTTAACTATATTGTCAGTAATATAATGTCTTTGGCCCATATATATTAATGATACATTCTTTGAAAACAAGCCTTAATGCAGTGATGCTTCTCATATAAATGTATCATATTTCAAAGATTTTTAAAAAATATTTTAACTGAAAAACAAGTTTTAAAAAAGCTCCTGATAAGTCAGTTATAACTTCACTTTCAGCAGTAAAATCAATTGAGCTTTCATAATGAACCTAAAAACATGTCAAGTTAGGTAAGTTCATTAGGTGTTGTGCAAGGGTCACGATCTTAAGCTTGGCATGATTTAGGGCCTGTTACACCCTAGTATGCGAATGCCAGCAGCAGAATAAATCTACAAGGTCTGAAGCACCCTAGTTCAAGCACCTTAAATTCAGCCCAAAGGTAGGATGAGGCTAGTGATTAGCCAGTGTGCTGGAGGAAAGCTTCTCTGGTTTCTCAGCACTGTTTTCTGAACAATGGGCTGAATCTACTATCCCTCCACTCATTAGAAATCGAAACACCAGCGAAATGCAGCAGTCAGCTGAAAGTGCTTCAGTGCAGTGCAGTTCAACAGTACTTGGACTCTCTAAAGTACAAACTAAGTTTTTTTTGTGCAGTCTTTTTTATACAGTGTCTCTTTTATAAGCTCAGATCGTGTTTTCCGTAAATAAGCTGTACTTTTATTGCGGATACGGCTTTTCAGATGTTAAATGTTTGGCGTTTAAATTCATTAATAAAGTGAGGATAGCGAGAAGGTGAGTATTTTCACAGCTTGAGGAAACAATCGAGTCATTCTCAGATTGATAGAGCGATTAAGGCAGAATGCAGAATAAGAAAAGTAGACTTTCCCCCGAGGAGGCAGGGAGCAAAAAGGGAGGATGGGAGTAAAAAAACGTGACCTTTAAAAATTGCAGACGTTCACGGTGGAGAGTGACAGAGCGCAGCGCGATCCATACGTGCCTGTCGATACCCGCTAACAATAGCCGATCCAAAGCGCCTGTCAGCACTCACTGGAGCCTTCTGATCAAAGGTGCATTGATCACACACTTTCATGACCTAATCCCGGGCGAAGGAGAGGAGAGGAGAAGAGGGTGTCATGAGGCCCAGGCATAGAGCCCACTGTGGTCTCACCTCGCAGTCTGTCTTCAAAAACCCTCGAAGTGCCTGCCAATGCAAAGACAGCGTCTGGAGAGAACAAACATTTGGATGCCACCACATTCTGGCGCCGTGACAGCAGACGGGAGGAAGTGTACGGGTCAACGTGAGTCCAGCTTGAATGTGTGAGGTGGTGCAAAAGGATGTGATGAATGCGGAAAATGATGAAAGGCATCAGGAGAGAGAGGAAGACGAGATATTAGATATTAAAACTCAGCCAGTACTGTGCTGCATCAGAACTCCTGGTGTATGATGGTAACAAGATTAAGGAATATGCATAATTGATCCAGCTCTGCGGCGAGATCGGCTTTTATCCTAACATCTGTGACACACTGAGAAGAAAAGCAAATGCTGGGTGGCATCTGCTGGATGTTCAGTTCAAATCAAAGTGTTCTGCTCTCTTTTCCCCATCATTCTCTTTATTCTTCTCTCCTCTCCACAGTCCAGTGTCTCTTAGTCGGCAGGGGGTTGCCGATGTTGGTCTAAAGAGCATATTACTCTTGAGCCCCAAAGGAAGTTGAACAGGAAGAAGATTTTAGTGAAGTGCCATTTAAAGTCTACACTTTCTTCAAAAGTTATCAACACAAACTTTGAATGTTGGCTTGTTTCAAAGTTTTGAAAAAAAGTTTTAAATGCCTAGATAGATACATAGATAGATTTTACAGAATGCATCACCTTTGTTGAATATCGTTCAGTTCTGTAAATCCCCAATTCAAGTTTCTGTGGGACGTGGCCAATTCATTCAAATTCACACTCATAAATTGAAAGGGAGCCAGTTCTTCAATTCTGAATTTTGCAGTAAACCACAACAGTAGTCCTCTAATCACCTCAGCGGGGCATCTTAAAAACTCCTTCACCTCGTCAACCACTCTCTGAGGAACGGCGGGAGAGTTGACAGAGTCTCACCCTCCTGCGTCAGCCACTTTCCTTCCTTAATGGGCAATACCATCTAAGAAGTTCAGCAGTCAGCAAAGCCCACTGTTAGCATAAGTCCTCTAACAGGATTGCTCCCTATGGAGTGACTGTGAATTAAAGTGCTGTATGCATGCACACTCATGACTTTGGTAGCTTCTTGTGGAAGGCACCTAGATGATGCTGTTGATTAAACTGAAGAGGGTAAGTGCACCAGATTGGAAGATGGGTAGAAGAGGGTAATCTGGTATACTGAAGTGGCGTATGAATTGCCCAGAGGAGTTCCAATGGGGCTTCTGTGTGGGAACGTCTGGCAGATTTATTTAAGCGAATGGGGAAGGGGTTGAGTGCAGGCTCGTGCCTGTTCGGAAGATGAAAGGTCGTGATATTGAATGGACAATGGACTGCCTTAGCTCTTCCCTGACTATACACTATGACCTTGGCTTTGTGCACCCATTACACAATTCAGTGGCAGCCCAATCGAATCTGCTTCTGTCGATCAATATCCTATTAAAGCACCACACAAAAAAGGAGAGGAAGCGAGCAAGAGAGAGAAGGAGGGGCTGTCGGTAGTGGGGGAGAGCGAAATGAAAGTCTCCATAAAGTTAGCCGCTACAGCTACGTTTTTGTAAATGGAACTCCACATAATTGGCCAGTCGATTCCAAGCTAGGGTAATTTCGGAGATTGGGTCCGCCTTTCCATATCCTCCTCCCTCCCCCTGCTCCTCCTTCATCAGCTATTCCCTTCTACCTTCTCGAGTCTTGCAGTGTTCGTTTTCCTAAACGTTCCCAGGGATAGCCACTATCACCTAGAGTTTGATTTTTCCTTACAGCTGGCCCCCGTATGAAGTCGGACACTGTCACGCCACAGTTTGGCATGCCGTCAAGCTCAGGTGAGCAAGAGGACTTGTACGTGAGCCAGTTTTACTGTTGCTGCCGCCCACTCAGAGCCACTCCAGAGGAGATTGCGAAGGCTACAGCAAAGACAGGAGAGGATACGGGATTAGGATGAGGTTATTGTTATTAGGCCGCCTGCAAGAGCCTCGCAGAAATGTTGGCAAGCAGTACAGCAGTGTGATCCAGGGGCAGGGACACCTGGAAATCCCTGGGTGAAGGCCGGCGCTGGCATGCACCATTTAGCCATATGACCGAACAGGGGGAGCGGATGAATTATGGAGTAGGAGAGGAGGCCGCTGTGGCAGAGACACTGCCGAGCAGCACCGGTGGGGATACGCCCACTAGTCTTGTCAGCACTGTGCCAACACTGGGCCAAAGCTTGCCAGTGGGCAGTGCCATCTGCAGTGAAATGCACACATGGGGCTTAAATCTCGTCAACACTAGCTTCCCACAAAATGCCCTACATTTCCAATATAATAAAAATGGACAAGAATAAAGATGTTCATTGATATACTGTAAAAGTAGGGATGTGCCAATATGATGATTGTCAAAATTTCCTAGCCCTCATGTCATTCCAAACCTGTATGCCTTTGTTTCTGTTGTAGAACACCAAAAAAGATACGCTGAAGAAATGTCTCCCTTTTTGTCCAGGTACAGGTTTGGAATGACTTGAAGGTGAGGATATGATGAACGAATTGTGATTTTTGGGTGAACTATCCCTTTAAATCGGACCAGCAAAGTGTCAAACCAGCGACCTGCTGATAATCAGCCCTGTCCTTCACAGTGTTTTTACCAGGAGTAGTAATATGCTGAGTACAGGACTACATTCTCTTCTATTTCTTGACCTTCTTCAACTGGACGCCGACCTGTAAACTTCACCAGTTGGTTCCTTCTGCCTTCTCTTCTCATTTGGTTTGATGGGAAACTACGCAGTTAAGGAATAAGGTCTAGCCCCATGCGAACCCTCTTCTCCAGACTGAGAACTCTGGACCTATGCTGTAGGTCTGTATCCACACAGGAGCTGATCCAGCAGAAAACCCCACCGAAGACCTGTCAAAGCTCACCAACTTCAGATCAGTTCTAGATGAGATCCCATCACGCTACGGTCCTCTCGCTCAATAAAGCGATGAGGAGTAAGGGGGGTGGGGGGAAGACGGGGTGAACAGACATCCAGGGTTTTGAAGTTGATTGCTGCTGCCTTTGTTGTCAAATGCTTCAATTTGAAAATCCTGCCTGAACAAAAGCCAGTTTTTTTCCCTCTCTCTTTTTCTCTTCCTCCTCCCCCTGCTCTTTTCAAATGAATAGCCTCCCCAGCTTTTGTAGATGCTTTAACGTGGCCAGTATTTGGGTGGAGGGGAGGAGTATGTCTGTGTGTGTGTATGTTAAGAGGGATTGTCAACCCTTGAGACAAGAGACTACACCAAAAAAAAAAAAAACTCCACCACATCCAGCAGACTCGGTCACTTTGCTGTCCGTCAACAAACTTCCTGTAACTTGCCAGCCTTCAGTCTGAAACCTGTTTGAAATACTTTTACCTTGCAGTCTACAAAACTTACTACATGTTTAGAAGTTTAGGGATGGACGATACACCGGTACCATATCAGTTATCAGTCGATATTGGAGATATTTTAATTGCTTTGCATTATTGAATATAGAATGTTTTTGTAAATTTAATCTAGTTTTTGACAGCATTTTTACATTTAGATTTCCTTTGCCATCATCTAACAAAGTTAAAAATACACACATTAAATAATTTTTTAGCAACCTTTTTGTCAGGTTTACTCAACTTGTTTGGACAGTTCTTGTCCCTGATGCACAGCTAAGTAAACCCACTCGCTGCACTGCAATTCCTCTGCACTAAGTAAATAGAATAGATTGAAACATTTTGCTAATGTACTTTGCGCCCAGCAGCTTGAAAGGTAAAACAGTAAAGATCAGAGAGAGAGAGAACAGAAGGGGAAGGAGAGAAGAGAGAGAAAGATCAATGCTGGCCTGATAGCCACAGGCTTCATTTGGAATCCTCCAAGCGAAAGCACTTGATAAAGCCTTTAAGAGGTAGAGACTGCGGATTACCTTTATGATTGATTTCCATTCCAGTCAGACAGACTGCAGTGTGGTCATTTTTCTACCCAAACTGCAGCAGGGCTGGCCACTCTCGGCGTGAGGGTTCGTTTGTGTGGATGTGTGTGCGCGTCGAGGGCCGGCTGAGTTACTGCAGCCCGGTGCCCAGGTTAGCTCTCTCACAAATTACTTCACATCCTACTATTAGCCATGCAAATGCAGCCGGCTTTACTGCTCGTCATAAATAACCCACGCTGCCACTTCTATTAGAGCGAAGGACCGCCCACCCCCCTCCAAAAAAAAGTTAACATAAAGAGATGACTCAGAAATTATAGCACTTCCTTTCTCACTTCCTATGTGTCCAACTTTTTGCTGTTGGCTAGTGCATTGGCTCTCTCTCCCTCCCTTGGTCCAACTTGCCCCTTTAGCCATGTCCTCTTCCAATGTTAATTAGGCAGCCCATTACCGTGTCTATCACAGTCTTCCACGCTGTCGTCTGCCCCACTCCCCCCCCCTACACACACACATACATACATCTCTCTCTCTCCCCGCCTGGGCCCGGCGTATTAGGTATGCAGGACCAGGGCCGCTCTCTTACACCTTCGTGCTGTCCTCATCAAAAAATAGTGGTCTCAGTCACCATGAATATAAAGAGGCATCACAGCTTTATGTACTGTATGACAAAGGCGTTTGATAGAGCACTGCTCACCGATGACCTACAGAAAGGGGCACGGGGGGATTTGCAGCTTGAGGCGACTCGCTCAGGGAGGAAAGTTTTGTAACCAGCACAAGTGTTCAAGTAAGATAAGCAAATGTCAGTTGTTATTTTTTTCTTTTATTATAAATTTAAAAAGTTTGAATTGGCCACACCCAAAAGGAAGTTGAATTTGAATGACAGGAAGAGAAAGAATTGTACAGAAATGTAATTTATTAATTATGATGGAATAAATACAAATATATAAAAAAATATCTATCTATCCATCTATATTGTTCGATTGATCTATCATTCTATCTTTCTGTCTGTCTATCGTTCTATATACCTGTCTGTCTGTCTATCTATCTATCGTTCGATCGTTCTATCTATCTATACATTTATACATTTAGTCATTTAGCAGATGCTTTTATCCAAAGCGACTTACAAATGAGGACAATAGAAGCAATCAAAATCAACAAAAGAGCAATGATATACAAGTGCTATAACAAGTCTCAGTTAGCTTAACGCAGTACACGTAGCAAGGGTTTTTTAAATAATATAATAAATAAAAATAAAAAGTATAGAGCAAGCTAGTGTTAGAGGTCTTTTTTGCTTTTGTTAATTGTATAATAAATGAAAAGAAAACAGATAGAATACAAAAAGATTAGAAAGCATGTGTGTTAGTTTTTTTAATCTATCGTTCTATTTTTCTATTTATCATTCTATTGTTATATCTATTTTTTAGCTGAACTAATATGAAAATGAGCTAAATCAGCAATGTTTATGATATTGTAGTTGTCAGATTTTATTGCTGTTTAATAAATAAAGAAGTAAACTTGTTACACAGCCGAAATGGTAATCGAGTGAACCAACTCAAACTTTACTTTTGCTTCAGACGTGGAAATGAAGATGAACTGCATCAGAATGTGATGCTTAATACTGTTTTTGTTCTCAGGTATTGATGTTTGTTCTCTTTTCTGTGTGTGGCAGCCCCCATCGCAGCAGGGACGGGGCCCAACTTCTCGTTGGCAGACCTGGACAGCTCTTCCTACTACAGTATGAGTCCTGGGGCCATGAGGCGCCCCCTACCCAGCACTTCTTCTAGCAGGTATGCACTCGAAAGACACGCATGCACACACTCCCTCTCTCTCCCTCCTTCACTGAGTCTTAATTAATCAGCCGAGGCAGAGATTGATGTGTTGGCTGAGCATTCGAAGAGGCTGCAGGAGTCTGAGCTACACTAGCTTCAAGCATATGTGTGTCCACCTGGAACCTCCTTCCTCCGCCACCCGCTCAGCCTACAGGCCAGTCACACACACACACACACATACTGCTCCCCAATGTAAAACCGCACTACGTGGCACCCCGTGTGTGAGTGGACAGATGTTTGGATGTGTGTGTGTGCACAGCTGAAATGCAATGTATAAATGGTTACTGTGATTCCACTGATGGGGCAAATTTCGCTGTCACTTTTACATAATGCAGCATACCTAAAATCCACACACATACAAACGTACATAAACATTTGTGCTGATATTTAACACATTTGAAAATACAACAGTCATGTGTATGTTCATTTTAGCCATTTCCATTGAATACATTTGTTGAATATGACAGAACGCACTTGTTATTTTTGGACATTATAGGCGCCTTTGATGCACAAAAATGTAGTTTAGAGCACGAGCTCGCTAACTTTGGAGCCCATGTGTGTGCGGTCAAATACAACTGTATGTGTGTACATGTGTGCGTCTGCCCACATGCTTCAGTGGCCTCTTCAGCCAGGCCTGCCAAAGCAAACATCTGGAATAAGGACCCTGTGTGTGACTGCATGCTAGAAACTAATTAAGCGATTATGAGTGAAAAACACCAGTAGGCCTTACATTAACAAATAAATGTCAGAGCTCAGCTCACAGCAGATAACTCACACACACATGACCGCCAGCCTCCAATGACTCCTCACGTCTTGAATGTGTGTGTTAGATTGTAGAATGTCTGTGTGTGTGTCTGAATAAGCTTGCACACGTCTTTGCTGTCCACCTTTTTGACCTGAATAATTATGTTGTACAAAATGTATAGTCAATATGAAATCAAATTTTACTATTTAACTTGTTAAAATGTTTAATAATTCTAAAAGTAAGTTTTTCATAATTTTTTACTGTAACATAACTTTCCTCTCCTCTGAAATAACTTTTCTTTGATAAAGATTAGTAAATAAGTAAATCGTTACGTATTAATTTATATCAAACTTATTGTATCTGCTATTTATATCAAGTCAGATTAAATATTTTAATTAAATATTTATTGATTGATTTTATTGATATAAATTTTGAGGGCTATATTAATAAGTCTTAAACTCAATATTATATATATATATATATATATATATTTCATGAATTATTTCAATAAATAAAAATCTCAAAATGTAAAATAAATTAATGAATACATGAAAAAAAATCAAGCAATATGTCAATGATTTATTTATATTTTGTATTTTGTGTTTTATATTTTTGTTTATAGATAGTATTTATTGACACGCTCATTTATTTTCATATATTTTATGATTTAATTCGTTAAAACATTTTAGCATATATATTTATCTTTTTAATAAAAGATGTGTTTTAGTATGGCACACTGTGTATTTAGTATTTTTATCTGTGGATTGTATTTATTGATATTAGTTCATTTATTTTAATATATTTTTTGATTTAATTCATTAAAGGACATTTTAACACATTTATTGATCTGTTTAATAAAATATAGTTTTTTTACTATGGCAAACTTTGTGTATTTTGTATTTGTATTTATAAATTATATTTATTAACATCTATGTTAATTTATTTTCATATATTTTATGATTGAATTAGTCAAAATACATTTTATCATGTATATATTGATCTTTTTAATAAAAGAAGTAGTTTTTAATGTCACACTTTGTCCTCCATAGTGTTGATGGAAACATTTTTTTAATAAATGATATCGTAACACACTTTTCATTAACCAATCAAATCCTAATGTGTAAAATCAAGCCCAGCCCCTAAAATACATCACAGTAATACATTAAATGCTTTTTGAAAGTGGTTTAATACTGCCTATAGCATTTATCTGAATCCAAACTACATTCCTCCACACTGGCCAACAAGGCATGCTGGGAGAAAATCATACATTTGCAGAATGAAAAGTCTTTGATTTGACTTATCCACCCTCTTTCTATCTCTTTTTTGTCGCACAGTTCTGCAAAGCGGATCAAATGCATGGAGGATGAGGTGGACAGCCCGGGAGAGGAGTCCTACTACCCAGGTCAGGGACGCTCGCCTGGAAGCGGCAGCCAAGCCAGCAGCTGGCATGAAGTAGAGCCAGGTAACTGTCCACCCTGAAAGCCAGCCTCCCCCGGCGCTCACACACACATTCACACTCTCACACACTGTGGGGTTGCGGGTGGAGACTGGAGAGCGAGCGATCGGATCTGCTGTATGTGTGTGTGTGTGTGTGTGTTTGTACATCCTGTGGTGTGCGCTGGTTGTGGGAAGGCAACAGCTGTGGGGATTATTTCTGTTTCTTCTTCTTCTGTTTTTTTTGGGGGGGGGGGTTCAGCATCTCTGATCCGTCTCTCTGGGTATGACATTCCGGAGATGGCACCCTCTAACTCAAATGGCACCTCATTTGTTTTTCTTTTTGAAAGATTTCCGCCGTCTGCCCCCCTCAGTCCATCTCAGAAGTTAACCATAGATGGCTTGTAGATACAGTCTCATTTAACTTCATATCCACGTGTCTACTAATGATGCTAACAATGTACGAAGGGTCCCGTATGTGTGTGAGTTTGAATGCTGATTCATCCTGGACTGTGTGCGTGTGTCCTGTGAAGCTCGCCGCATTGCCACAGAGCAGAGGACTGTAAATCTGTCCCGCTCCAAAGCATCTTCAATCAAGTCTCGCACGTCCTCGATATTAGAAATTGACGCCGCATAGTGGACAGAGACAGAGAGGAAAGACACGTCACATATTACAGCCAGATCAGGACAGAGCTCAAGCAGGGAATCGGATCGTTATTAACAAAATCCTTCAAGGAACTGAATGATTCAGATTCCAATTCCACTGAAAGACGGAAATTTATTGATGATTCTTTTAATGATTCTTTTGATGGTATTTACCAGTCCTCGTGATTCATTGAGTCAGAATAGGTTCATTACACTGATTCAAACTGAGGACTCACAAGCAGGCCCAGGAGAATTTTATACTTTCCACATAGATTTTGAGGAAATATGTGAAATTCCAGATCTGTAAATGGATTTTAACTAGTGCTGTCAACTGATTAATCGCGATTAATCGCATCCAAAATAAAAGTTTTTGTTTACTTTTTATATATATGTGTACTGTGTATATTTATTACGTGTATATATAAATACAAACACATACAGTATATATTTTGAAAATATTTACGTTTATACATTTATATATTAATATTCTTATATTTTATATTATATATAAATATACTTAATATATAAACATAACATATGTTTCGTAAATATATACATGCATGTGTTTGTATTTATATATACATAATAAATATACACAGTATACACACATATATTATGTAAACAAAAACTTTTATTTTGGATGCGATTAATTGTTTGACAGCACTAATTTTAACATGATAAATATAATATTCACATTAAGTTTAGTGGTATTTCGACCCTCTCAGCCGCCAAGCTTTTTTTTTATTTTGCATTAATGTAAAGATAAATCCAACTCACTTTATTCTCAACTTTTATCTAATATAATTTTAAATTATTTATATTAATAATTACATACTGTAATGTAATATTCTACAAATATATAAAAATGTTTCAAATGTCCATATATATATATATATATATATAATTTATATAATATTTGCATGATATATTTAATAAATAATTAATAATGAAATACATTTATATATTTAAATTATTTAAATTATTTCTAAGAAATAATTAGTGTTTATTCTCCCAGTACAGCAGCTGATTTCAGTCCTGTAGTTCCACCTCCCTTTTTGCCATCATAATGGGAATATCCCCGGATTCTTTGTCCGTCGATAAAAATAAACATGCGGATTCGGTTACAGACCTATAGAAGAATACAGTCAGACAGTGACGGAAGTGAGGAACATCCAGAAAAGAAAACTCTAAGAAGATGTTGTCTGTATGTGTGTGTGTGTGCGCGTGTGTGTGTGTGTGTGTGTGTGCGTGTGTGTGTGTGTGTAATCTGAGTGTGTGGCTGTCCGGCAGGTTCTGGACACATCAGATCTGACATGAATGCTTGAACTGCTGAGGTATTGCACATTTGCTTCTACACCTCTTATTCACCCTGCCTTTTTTGTTCTTTTGTCCCTCCTTGTTTCTTTCTCCTCCTTCCTTGTCTTTCAAAGCTGGATATAAACTGCGTGGCTCGCTAGCTAGTTCGTTCATCTCAAGACAAGGTAAAACTACATCAATGTTGTCACCCTTCCACACCTCACCTTCCCTCCCCACCCAAAAAAAAGGAGCTCGTCCATTGTGCTGTCTAGTTTTGTCATCGTCGTTGTTATTGTTTCGTACCTTATTTTTTGTTGTTTTGTTCAGACGATTTTCTTCCCCCACCAGCCTTTCTCCGTACAAACACCTTTATCCCAAAAAAGGAACAGAAAAGGCCTGCAGAATGTTTTTGCCCTCCTGAAACAACATGCACCCCCTGTCCCATGATATCCCTGTGATTTGTATGTGTGCATGACGTCATCCACATCCATCAACGGTGCATCTGGAAATGTTTGCGTTAAAGTGACGTGTCTTTGTGTTTTTGAGGATGCAGTGTTTGGAAAAATTTTGATAATTATATTATGGATGTGCAAAAGTATGCGTTTTCTATTTGGACGGGAGTCATGTATAATTGTATATATTATATAATATAAAAAAAAATCATTAGATTAATGATTTAAATTGATATTCATTTGATATAATTTCAATTTATTTTATGTATTTAATTTGTTATATTTTAGTAAAATAATTCAATTATAATTATTTATTTTTTTATAGTTTAATTATATGTATTATATATATATATATACATATATATATATATATATATTCTTA